GTCAACTCCATCCTTCTTCTCCCCGAGTTGAAAATGCTTCGGGGAAGACAGACTATTAAACAAGTTTTAAAATAGCAGTAGCTGAAATGTTCTGAGCCCTTACTCTGTGCCAGGTCCTGGGCTTCAGTCCTTACCACAGCCAGGGAGGCAGCGGTGATGGTCGTTACTGTCATGACTTTGACCACCACTATCAGGCCCCTTGCGCCCATAAGAAAACTGGGACTCAGAGCAGCCAGTGAGTCCCACAGGGTCATGCTGCCCGAGAGTGGCAACGCTGAGCTCGGCCACGATGCCTCCTCCCTCCAGGGCCCAAGGTCCCATCGTGCCGAAAGCCTCCCTTTTCCTCTGTGTGTCTCCTGCCAGGGAGCCCTGCTATTGGGGACCTTTGGCCCTGGAGGAGGCTGCAGAAGAGAGGCCTCACCACTGTCAAGCCTTAGCCATGCCCCACACAGCTGCCAAGACCCTGCAGACCCTACAGATCTGGCATTTGCATTGTTGAATCATGGAGAGGACTGAGTTTGTGCAAGGAAACCAGCTCTTTCTAAAATGGCAACACAGCATCATAGAAAGACGGGCAGAGGTGGCTTGGAGCTCAACTCCCTGTCTGGGAAGTGGAGCAGGTCCTGTGTTCTCATGATGCAGCTTGAGCGTCACCTCCCAAGCAGCCTCTGTTGGTCCCTGCACCAGTGAATCTCAACCCTGGCTGCACATTACAGCTGCCTGGAGTGATTTAAAGCTCCCTTGGCGACTTCAATGGGCAACCACTTTAAGAAGCGCTGGGCTCCACCAGGGGTTAACATGCCACCTCCTGCATGCCAATCCCACCCACCACCTGCCATTGTAAACAAAGATCTACAAACAGCCAGGCCCATCTGTGTGGTATTGTCTGCTCTGCTTTCACACGGCAAAGGCAGAGTCATCATGACAGAGACCATCTGGCTCCAAAGCCTCCAAGAGTTACTTCCCAGACCTTTATAGACAAAGATCGCCAACCCCTGGACTAGACAGTTATTTACTCTGCCAACCTCCTTAACATACTTCTAGCTCCAAACTTAGCACGTGAAGCCATAATTATTTGTCTATGTGTAAGACAGGCTTGAGCTCCAAGGGCAGGGGACTCTCTGCGCAAGGCCTGGCCCACACAGATGCTCACTGATTGGCGGGTGTTATGTGATTTGTTAGCTGTGAACTTGGGGCTTCTCTCTTTAGACTCCAGCCCCTTTGCTTACTGGGCCCCACTTCCCAGGGCTGAGCTCCCAGCAGAGACCAAGGAGGCGGCCAGCATGAGGCTTGACGGAGGAGGTGAATCTCAACATAGAAGGTGGGAGAATTGCGAGCCCGGGGCAGATCAAGGAATAGGTTCAAGGTTAAGGCTGTGAAATGCAGGAGGATGTGGGAACTCTTTACATAGCAGGACTGGCATCTGCTGACCCAGAGGCGCTGGATACGTCCGGGCAGGTGGTGCGCAGGCGAGGATGGGGCTCAGTTACCTGGTCCAGCCTCCCATCCAATGTTCGAATCCTATTACAGCTTCACGATACTCCAGTCTTGAGTACCTCCAGTGATGGGGAACTCACCACCTGACTAGACAGACATGCGCCATTATTTGGAAGAGTGAAAAAATTAGAAAACACCTAAATGTCTATCAATACAGTATTGAATATTAGTTATTTTTTCATATATAACTAGGAGAAAAAAGATGAGAGAGATCTAGGTGTACTCATATGGAAGATATTGGAAATTGCTTGGTAAGTGGAAAAAAAAACCTCAGGTTATAAAACATTATGTTTAATTGGAGGCTATTTATGTATGAAAAGAGTATTAGTCCTGCAAAGATAAATACCACACTACTAATAGTGATGGTCCCACTACTTGGAGATGTGATTATAGGAGACTTTTGCTTTCTCTATGGTGTTGAAATTTTTGTTTTTTGAACAAGCTTATGTTACCAAGAAAATAACAAAGAATTAAGAGACAAAAAATAAAGAGGACATCCTCCCTTATACTGAACTAAAATTTGCCTTCCTATAGCATCAACAAACAGGCCTTTGTTTTGTCATCTGGGGCCACCCAGGCCATAGAAGATATTTGTAAACAGAAATTGTGTCCAGAGTTTGTTCCCAGGGAAGCACAGGCCTGGCCCCTCGGCACAGACGGCATGGACAGTACTTGGGTGGTTATTCGATGCCTGTCATTTTCTGACTCATGGGCTTGCTTGTCTTCCCTGCTAGGCGGGAAGCTCTCGGAGGGCAGACTATGAAATCTACCGTTCTGTCCTGTGTACAGCATCTGGTGCAAACCACACAGAGTAGGTCCTTAGGAAGTTCCTGGCGAATAAATGAATGAGTGAATGAATGAATGATCTCAGGGAATCAAAAAGATCAATGCTTGTCATTCCCCTTGTCTCCTCATCCAGCCCCAAGCTTCTGGCTGAGCAACTAGGATTAAGAGGTTGTGATATTATGGTATATGTACTTACTGGTTTTTGTCCACGGTTCCTGGCTCCCCAAGGCAGGACTCTGATCTTCCTCTGCGTTTCTGTCTTAGAGCTGGCCCTCACCCCGTGGGGTCTGATGCTATCTCCAGGTAGATAGTATCAGGACTGAGTTAAGTTAGAGGATGCCCAGCTGGCGTTCGCTACAGAACTGGTTGCTTGCTGGTGGTGGAGAAACCCCCACACATGTGATGTCAGAGTGTGTTGTGAGAATATAGTGGAAGAGATAAACTGAGTTTAGTTTAAACTGAGTGATGGAAGAATCAGAGGACAGAGATGGGGCAGGGGCTTTGGAAAGAATTGAGACGCGCTCGTGTGAGAGAAGAGAGGACAGCAGCGGAAAGAGAGGGCAGGAGAAGGAAGGGGAGATGCCCTGTCAGGGCCCTTGAGAGCGTTTGGGAAAACACTGAAATGAGGCACGAGGTGAGAAGGGTTTCAGGACAGCTGCAAGGCAGGTGAAAGGCAGAGAGGAACAGAGGAAAGATGTCAGATGTGTGGCCGTAGGTATGAGACGGAATAACCTTCCGTGTTCTTCAGAAAGGACAATAATGACTGGAATTGTTCTGACGTGGGGGGACTAGATTGTGTTTCTGTAAATGTGGTGCACATTTGGACTTGGCTGTGTGGAGCTCTGGAATTTGTTTGGGTTACAAATGGAGGTGCAGTGAGGGAACACGGTGCCCCATGCTCTGGCCCAGCCATCCGTGCGGTGGGGTGAAGCTGCCGACGTGGGGCTGTGTCACAGCGCACTGCCTCCTCTCTGCAGGTCCTGCCACCCCANTGTCCACGGTTCCTGGCTCCCCAAGGCAGGACTCTGATCTTCCTCTGCGTTTCTGTCTTAGTGCTGGCCCTCACCCCGTGGGGTCTGATGCTATCTCCAGGTAGATAGTATCAGGACTGAGTTAAGTTAGAGGATGCCCAGCTGGCGTTTGCTACAGAACCGGTTGCTTGCTGGTGGTGGAGAAACCCCCACACATGTGATGTCAGAGTGTGTTGTGAGAATATAGTGGAAGAGATAAACTGAGTTTAGTTTAAACTGAGTGATGGAAGAATCAGAGGACAGAGATGGGGCAGGGGCTTTGGAAAGGACTAAAACACGCTCGTGTGAGAGAAGAGAGGACAGCAGCGGAAAGAGAGGGCGGGAGAAGGAAGGGGAGATGCCCTGTCGGGGCCCTTGAAAGCATTTGGGAAAACACTGAAATGAGGCACGGGGTGAGAAGGGTTTCAGGACAGCTGCAAGGCAGGTGAAATGCAGAGAGGAACAGAGGAAAGATGTCAGATGTGTGGCTGTAGGTATGAGATGGAATAACCTTCCGTGTTCTTCAGAAGGGACAATAACGACTAGAATTGTTTTTTTTTTTTCCATGTCCGGCAACACGGATCGCAATCCTCAGTGTTGCGCCCGTACTGGACTGGGACCGGCAACGGGATCGCAACCCTCGGTGCTGCGCCCGCACCTCGCTCAGCCAGTGAGCGGGAACCGGTCTGTATGCGGGATCTGAACCCTTGGCGGGAGCGCCGCCGCACTCCCAAGCGGCGCACTGTAGCAGTGCGCCACCGGGCTGGCCCTGACTAGAATTGTTTTGACGTGGGGGGACTAGATTGTGTTTCTGTAAATGTGGTGCACATTTGGACTGGGCTGTGTGGAGCTCTGGAATTTATTTTGGTTACAAATGGAGGTGCAGTGAGGGAACACGGTGCCCCATGCTCTGGCCCAGCCATCCGTGCGGTGGGGTGAGGCTGCCGACGTGGGGCTGTGTCACAGCGCACTGCCTCCTCTCTGCAGGTCCTGCCACCCCATGGAGGCTGCCCCCTCTGGGGCTGCGGTGACCTTGAGATGCCAGAGGAGACAGAAACGCCACCTGAGAAACTCTGGCACTTGTTGGTGGGAGAGAACTCTGTGCCAGAATTCGGAAGGCCAGGGCTTTATTTGTATGTAGAATTGTCTTTAGAAAGTGCTATAATTTAGTGAAGAAATGTTCTGTAGCTAATAAAAGTTCATTGCCCCCAAATCAGAAAATAGGGCTGAGCAAAAAGAAGGCTTCAGATTTAATCACCTGCATTTTTGTGATGTAGGGATGATCACCACTAACCTTTTGGTACATGTTCTGCCAAATAATTTTTGTGCATATCAGTATATAATTTTTTAAAACAAATCAAACTGTACACATTCTTTTGTAATACACCATTTGCATGTAACTAATGTTCATCTTTTTGTGAGAACAACAGGTTTGCATCCCTATCCTGCCTCTAAATGATTAGCCGTGTGGCACTGGGTTGGTCACATCACCTCCAAACACCTCAGTTTCCTCATCAATAAAATGGGAGTAATGACGCCCATCTCACAGGGTTGTGGAAAGATCCCATGCACAGCGGGAGGAAAGTCACTTTGGGGAATGTTCTCCGAGAAAGGGGGGAGGGCTGCATATGTTCAGGTCCTGGGTCTCTGCCCGCTCATCCTGCTCTTTCTTATGTAGGTTTTTGGGTTTTGCTTTTTTCTTTCCAGGATCGAGAAGGGGGATGGGATCGAGGAGGAAGACCTTCGCTTAGACTGTCGCCACGAACGATACCCGACCCGTAAGTGGCTTCATCTGCCTGCTGTCATCGGAGTACGAGGACCCCCTGGAGATGAGCCAGGCCAGCCTCCCCTTGCACCCCTACGTCTCCCACAGACACGCCACTGATGGGGAAACTGAGGCTGGTGTCTCAGCGTGGCAAATCCTCTGCATGCAGCAGCCGTAGCCCTCATGGTGGTGTTGAAATGCTCAAAAAGGAAGAGGGAAGCTGGCGTGGGAAGGCACAGCCCAAGTGCAGGCTGCCTTAGCCATTGGCCCAAGGGAGAACAGTTCTGGGCAGAATGAGTTAAGTCAGGGAGGGGACAGTGGACAAGATTTGTTTGAGCCGTGGGTGCTCTTGACAGCTTAGAACGCATTGACTTCATATGTCTCACTGTGGGGGACACCATAAGACAGAATCTAGGGCATCCATTTGGAAAACAAATGTTGGGGCCAGAAAGCAGAGGGGAGGTGAAAGGAGAGAAAGGACCTTGCTGAAGATAGAAAAGGAAAGAGCCCATGGAAGATTAAGGTGAAACGGTCAAATCTCAGCTGTGCCTGCTAAATGCCCACCAGGCGTTCCCTGCCCATCCCACCCTGCACTGAGGGCTTTTCATGCCTGAGCTCATATTCTTGCCGCCCCAACCCCCACAGCCAGGACTGCTATCTACATTTTGCAGAGGAGGAAATTAAGGCTCAGAGAGGTAGAGTAACTTGCCTGAGGTCACACAGCGTAGTTGGTACATGGCAGAGGAGTTACAGCAGACACTGTCCATGCCCTGCGTGTATCTCCCAGACCTGCTAGGAAGCCCCAGTGACTTCCATCTGTATGTGCATCTCTGTGCCTGGGGGCCTCCCCACCGCCTCCCACCAAATGCTGAAGTGCTGGGGAAGTTGGTGTGCAGACACCCCAGCTCCCTCATCCCAGGGTGGGATCCCCTGAGCGGGCGTTTTGCAGTTTCCCCGTAGGATGAAGAGTCAGTAGTGATTGGATGGCGGAGACCTTCCTGCCTTCCCTGTGCCACGTTCCTCTCTCTGCCACGTTTCCCTGCACCTCCTTAATCATCCACACTCAAATTCTTATCTCACAGTCCACCCTGGGGAATCCAAACTAAGACAGCAGAGATTTAAGCTGAGGTCTGTCTGCCTCCAAGTCCCATGATCCTGGTAACCGAAGGAGAAACACCGTGCTGGGGGGAGGAGATGGCAGCCAGCCCAGGAGCTTGGGAGCAGGCCCAGCTGGAGAGGAGAGGGTGTCTTCCCTCTGAGGGAGGGGGGCTCCTGTGGGAGGCATCGGTCCAGGAAGGTGGCCAAATTCCAGTTTCCTGCTTGAGGAACAGGGGGTGGCACTGAAGTGGCTGCTGGGCTCACACATCCTGGTTTCATGCCAGTGAGGGCTTCTTAGAGGAAGGAGTCAGGAGCCAGGGGATGGAGGTGGCTGCGGATATCCTGCCTCAGGGTAACAGAATCCATCTGAGAGGGGTTCAGGAAGTGCCCAGTAGGGATAAGGGCTGAGAACCCTGGCATGTTCTGGAACTTTATCAGCTCCCCTGTTTGGGACTAATAAAGGCTCCCTGCAGGGTGGACAGAAGCCCCGGGGCTTGTCTCAGGGGCATCTGGGCACTGGGTGGGGGAAAGGCCAGACCTCTGAGGCCTGAGAATGGAAACAGTCAAGGGGAGCCAGTCTGGCCCCACAAGCAAGCCCTGGAATCAAGTGACAGCACCTGGGGTCAGGGGTAACTGCAAACGCCCTCACCGCAGCTCTGGCAGCAGGCTGACCTCCCACGCAGCATTTCCTCATGAAAGTCCTCAGACGCACAGGATAGGCCCACCGCCCATGGGCGATTCCCACCTTTCGTCCCCTCAACAAGTATTTATTGAGCACCTGCTGTATGCCTGCCCTGTGCTAGGTCCTGGAGGGAGAATCAGTGAGTGGCCTCCTGTGAGAACCAGACAATCTCAGGTGCAGACGGTGCTCAGGCATGACCAGGAGGAAACGGGGAGGCTACATTAGAGTCACCTCTCTGCGGAGCTACTGGAGCTGGGACCTCAAGGCTGAGAAGGAATCAGCGCGCAGACAGCTTTCCAGGCAGAGGCCTGGGCGTGTGGAGTCCTGAGGCAGGAAGGAGCGTATGGCGTCCGTGCGACAGCCATGGGGCCAGCGGGGCCAGGGCAGGAGGGGCAGCGGGAGAGCGGGACATGGGCTGGATAGTGAGGCGAGGGGACCGCGGGAGGAGGTCGCTGTGCCGGGGGCAGAAGGGGCTGAGTCTGCAGTGGGGCCCGGGCATTTTAAGCAGGGAAGAGACATGCCCAGATGGCCTCTCTCCCTCACCTGTCTGTCAATCACCTATCTGTACCTGTCGTCTGTATCTATCTATCACCTATACCTATCATCTGTGTCTGTCCATCTGCCATCTCTCTGTTGGTGTACATATCTCTGCAATGTGGGACAAGTACTGGAGGGAAGCAGGAGGAGAGGCCAGAAGACCAGCTTGGGGCCTCGGAGAGTCACAGAACTTTTACTGTGGAGTCATTCCTGGGAGACACTGTGGTGGCCCAAACCGGCAATGGAGATAAAACTGGGGGGATTCAAGAACTCTTTGCTGGGAGAATTTTCAGTGTCTTAGTTTGGGTTCCCCTGGGAGCAGACCCCCGAGGCGGGGATTCAACAGCAAGCACTTTATTTAGGTGATGGTGGTAAACACAAGCAGGAGCAGGGAAGGGAGATGGCCAGTGACCGGCAAGTGTCCAGCCAGTCACCACTGTGGGCCCCACTGGGGGACTCGGGCAACCAGCATGGAGCTCTGAGTCATCCCACAGATAGGACAGGAACTCTCCTGGGTCATGGTTTGAGGGCTGCTGGGGGTGGCGGTGGGGGTGCATGAATTCTCTGGCACTTCTGGCTCAGGCCATGGGCAGAGGGCATGGGGCCTGTGGGGAAAGCCCTCCTTGTGCAGTTGGAGGTCGGCAGTGTGCGCTGCCACGGGGTGGGGGAAGGAGCCCCACAGCATCAGCTTGGAGCGATTCGAGTGAGGCATTGGGGTTGGGGGGAGGAACCGGGGATGCTGGGATACGCATGGAATTTCTGCTGGAGCAGTCCAGGGTGTGGGGGTGTTGATGGAAGGATCTGGGAGGGAGCGTTTGTGAAGCACCATGATGCCTTGTCTGGGTGGTGTTTGAGAGGCTCATGGGCACATCCTGGAGGCAGCCGGGTAGATGGAGGGGAGCTTAAAAGGGCAGCAGGATGGGATGGGAATTAAGATAGCTGAAGCCGAGGGACTGATGGAATTATCGGGAACAGTGTGGGGTGCGGGGGGCAGACAGTAAAGCAACCCCAGGGGCTCAGCGGGGCCGTGGAAGCTGGTGGGGAAGGGGCTGTGAAAAGCTGTCAGCTACCCCTAGAGTTTTTCAAATCCTGGCTTCTCTGGAAAGAAAAGAGCCTCACATCCCACAACCCTTCTGCCATGTGTGCCTTTTATCAGGCCACCCAGCATCAGCAGGCAGGGCCATCTCTTCCAGGGGCCAGCAGAGGTGCTAGGGACTCCCATGTCCCCATCTGTTGTCAGAGCTGAAGGAGGGAGCTAGGAGTGGGGGCAGGAATGCTAGCATGAAGGATCCTGTTGCTTCAGTTACCCTAAAGTAGGCTGCTTCTGAGACTATCCAGAAGCTATTTATTTGTTCATTTAACAAATCTCTACTAAAGAGGCTTCTCTGAGTTTTGGAGACACGGAGACGAATAAGGCATGTTACTGGACCTGGCGAGCTCCCAGTCCCACTGAGGAGACAGCCCCAAGCCACAGCTGTGTTGTGTGGCCAGGGCAGTAACGGGATCAGGGCATGCACCGTGATGACAGAGGTGGTGCCTCCTCCAGCTCAGGCAAAGGAGGGGCAGGAGAGGGAGGGAGGGGAAGGGTCTTAGCAAAGGGTGGTCCAACTTGGTAGGAACTCTACAGTGTAGTGATGATTATGAAAGCAGCCGACCAGAAGGACTCAGTCCCACCAGCTGTGGTCATAATATCTCACCCTTCCTTGTATATGTTCTGAGGACATTACACTCTCCACTCATTTAATCCTAAGTACAGCCCCATTTTACAGACAGGGAAATTGAGGCCCAGGGAGGTTAAGACTGTGGCTTACCCAACATTGCACAGCTGAGCTGGGATTTGAACCCTGCCAGTCTGACTCCAGAGCCCATACCCTGGACCGCTGGGGTGAGCCGCCCTGTGTCAGTCAGTGGGTGCACTGCCAGGTCCCCAGCAGGCTGCTGAGCATGGGGGCCAGCCTCAGAGCTCACAGACCTTGGGTTCTGGAGGAGCAGCTGGTTAGATGGACTAGGAAAATGATACCATCTCCAGAATTCGGCCTCTTAGCTGCTGGTAGATTTTTGGCGAAGAAAATATTTTGGAAAGGCCTGGACAAGTTTGCAATATTTCTTCAAGGAGCAGCTGCTTGATCTTGCGATGGGGCTGACTTGTCGGCAGGAGGGACAGCGGAGGAGGGATGTCGGGAGCCCGCAATATTAAACACTTACGTGTACGGGTCTGTGCTGAGCACCTCCTGCCTTCTCATTTGATGGCTGATCCACCCTGAGAAGCAGGGATCCTTCTTCTCATGTAGATGGAGAAACTGAGGAGCTGAAAGGCAAATCAACTCAGATTGGCATTTAGATCTTTCCCCTCACCCTGGGATTGAGGCCACTCCTGCTGACCTTATCTCCTCCTACTCTGCCTCTGTATTAGTCCGTTTCTGTTGCTTATAACAAAATACCCAGAACTGGGTGATTTATAAAGAAAAGAAATTTATTGCTTGCAGTTTCAGAGGCTGAGAAGTCCACAGTCCAGGGGACACAGCTGGTGAAGGCCTTGGTGGAGACTAGGGGTCTCACATGGAGGAGCAGAGAGAGATTCACCTCTCATGCACTCTCCTTTTAAAGCCCTCAGAACCACGCCCCTGACCACCATTATTAATCCATTCACTAAGGTCCTACAATCCAATCACCTCTTCAAGGCCCCGCCTTTCATT